CTTTGGAACAATTTCCTCCGCCTCTCCTTGCTGCGACATCTTCATGCGCTCTGTGTTGTGGTTTGAGAGGGCGGGGCTTTGTGACGGCGTGCCTGGGTCCGCGATTGTGATTGGTTGGGAGGAAGCAGTGACTAGCATAAACCTACATGCTAGGCTACAATGAGAAGGAAGGAAAACTGCGTTTCTTTATCGAACTTTTATCAACTCTTTTTTTTTTCCTATTGCGCCACACGTCTATCGATCGATATATATCGTTATTGAATTATCGCCCAGCCCTAAATAGTCTCAGCCTAGTTAGCCAAACTAAGTTCACTACAGTCCACCCATAAGCTAGATGACAACAATACTCTTGGTAATCTGAACATTTCATCCTTTAATTGCATCATTAAGCCTCATTAGAGGAAAAGGAAAAAAACAAATTACAAATTTAATTTTAGAATAATTGCAGCAAATCAAATCCTAATTTTAACTCAGCTCTCTCCACATCAATGGTTCTGAAAGCAGAGCTTCATTATCATGAATATCAGATTAGATAGTTTAGTCATATTTTAGGCTGATTTTGATCCAGGAGCCTTTGCATGAGTTCAGTCTGTTTACAGAGTAGCTGAGAGACTAAAGCCTCATTGAGTCTGCTGGTCTGCTCCGCTGCCATGACTACATGCTGTCTGTAAAACAACACATTAATGTTACTGCTTTGGTATCAAACCTGGAACCATCCCATAAACAACTGGGAAGGGGAAATATTGTTGACCAACTAATGAAATGTTCTAATGCATTTATACCGATAAACAAACACTTTAAATACATAGCAATAAGAGGTTCTCGACCCTGATTTTTGTCACATGACAAAATCAGATCTCCCTGGCCAGTTTTCCCAATTTTTCCTGAACTTGTTCGATTCTAATCTAAAAGAAAAAAATAGCCTTCAATCCTACAAATTTTATGCATTATTTCAACCCAATCTTCCATTGCTGGGGCCAGTGGCGGCTGGCCAATAGAGGGCGCTAGGGCACCATCCCACACCAAAGGACAATGATTCCATTGTTCGTCAGATTGATGACATATTTCCACCCTGGGTCGCCCGTTGACTCTGGATAAAAGTTGTGCAGTAGCTCCTCTGCAATACAACGGTATAGGAGAGCTTGGGGAGCAGAAAGAAATAAGTAAACCTGTGGAGATGCTCAGATCCATAGGCGTAACTTCCTTAAGGACTGGTGTGGACATGTCCCCACCAATC